TTTTTTTCTTTGGAACAAAAATAATAAAGCTTATAAACTTAAGGGACCAAAACTATAAATACTCTAAAATTGGTCAAAATGAAGTATATCTCACCTATATAGATCTCAAATCATTAAGCATGGTGCCAAAATCCATTCAACTTCTTCCTAACCCCTCCCTCTTCAAAAGCCATTACCGACATCCTACAAGCTCCTCGGATCACTGTCTCCAATGACTACCTCCGTTAAGCCTTATTGTCTCTCTTTTCACTTGATAATACATATATCCCCACTCTCACCCTCCCTTTCATGAAACTTGACAAAATTACAAAAATGGTCCCTGTGGTTTGCCAAAAATAACAAAATCAGTCCTATTAATTTTTTTAATGCAAATGGCCCTTGTGGTTTGAAAATCTTGCACGGATGGTCCTTTTTACTAAGGCCGTTAGGGACTGAATTTGTAAGGGCATTTCCGTCTTTTCAAGTATAAAGGGACTGAATTTGTGACTTTGGGTAAACCACAGTGACCATTTTTTAAGTTTGTTTAAAAAAGTAAATTAATTGGCTGAAGGAAGGGGGATGGCTCGAACTCATGACCTCCACCCCTTGTATTACAAAAGCCTTAACCAATTTATAATAACGAAAACGTTAATACATAAACAATAAATAAATTACAAAAAACATTTTTTACATAATTTTTTTTAAATAAATCAAAATATATTTTTGTCATATTATAAAAAAAAATTACAAACAATTTTGTATTCATTTTTATGTATTTATTTTACGTAATTTTTTTTATGTCTTTAAAAAATACGTTTTCGAATAATATGTTATTACGTTGTATTGGAAGGCAAAATTGGTCGAATATGTTTTTGGTTTGGTCCAATCGATTTTCCGATTTTCTGAAAACCGTTTTTCGGTTATATGTATTTAAAAAAACATAAAAAAACCTATTCGATTATATATCTTATTTAAAATATGTATTTCATCTTAATCGCAAGTTGTAAATCGTATGGTTTAAATGAAGATGAAAATAAATAGTGATATATCTTTTTGAAATAACAATAATTAATACTACTCCTGACAAAAAAAAAAAAAAAAAAAAAGACGTATAAATTGTTTAGATACATAACAAAATCGTTGTTAAGTTGTTTTTAATACATATAACCGAAAAACGGTTTTAGAACTAGCGACCCAAAATAATTTATACATTTTTTTATGTCATGAGTAGTGTTAATTATTATTATTTCAAAGATATTAAAAAATATATTTTACAAAAACATATATTTTTATACGAAAACGTATTTTTTTAAAAGACATAAAAAATATTTTACGTAAAATAAATACATAAAAATTGTTTGAAAAAAACTATTTTTTTATAATAAGACTAACATTTTGTTTTATTAAAAAAAGTATGTAGAAAAATGTTTTTTGTAATTTATTTATTGTTTATGTATTAACGTTTTCGTTATTATATAAATTAGTTTAGGAAGATATAACCAAGTGAACATTCAGCTTAATTGGTTAAGGCTTTTGTAATATAAGGGGTGGAGGTCACGAGTTTGAGCCCTCCCCCCCCCCCCCCCCCCCCCCCCCCCTCCTTCAGCCAATTAATTCACTTTTTTCAAACAAACTTCAAAAATGGTCACTATGGTTTTGACAAACTACAGAGACCATTTTTGTAATTTTGTCATGAAACTTCAACCACTCTCTATCCGTCTTTCTTTCTCTGCCCTACAACTCTCTCTCTCTCTCTCTCTCTCTCTCTCTCTCTCTCTCTCTCTCTCTCTCTCAAAACTTTGGTGTTTGTGATGGTAGTGGTGATGTTGTTTAGTGGTGTGGTAGTTGATTATACTACGACGACAATAGCACTCAATTGATAGTTTAAAGGTAGAGGTGGGGGTGGCGGTTTGTAGGTGGGAATAGGCGGGGCCCTTTTAATTAAATATTAAAAAAAAAGACAAATAAGTAAAAGGATAAAAAGGGTAATTTCGTCTTTTACTGGCATTTAACAAAGAGTTATAGATGGTAACGGATGAAAGGACAAAAGGTATGGATCTTGAATCCATGATGACCACCCATATTAATTTCTCAAAAGTAGGACCTAAACTGCAAATAGAGGCATAACACATCGACCAAAACTGTAATTTACTTTTGTGTGAATTAAAAACAGAATGCAACTAAAGGTTCACAGATCCAAATATTTTCGTACTATAAAGATTTACAAATCCAAATATGTTCAATGATTCCAAGTTGGAATGATCCATGCACCCGTTGTGACTATAAAGGTTTACAAATTACAAATCCAAATATGTTCAACGATTCCAAATTGGACTGATCCATGCACCGGTTGTGAAATCAAGTTTCATCTTCAATAGCTATGATGCAATGTTAATTTTTGAACAAATCTTAGTGTAAGAATTTAAGAATTGTGAATGGATGGTATTTTCTTAGTGTGGCTATGAGAAGAACAATCATTGATTTTGAAAGTGATATGCGAAAAGTAAAAATAGGTCCATAAATATATAAATTTATATAAATAAGCAAAATTTGTTAATAGTACGACAAGATTCAACACCTAATAGATCGATCGCTAAGTTATATTAATGACTAGAATTAAAAACAAAAAAAAATTGCTCATTTACAAATAGTAAGTGATAGATTAACGATAGAACCACAACAGAAACAAGCTAATATCAGGGGTGGATGCAGGAATACATAGCAGGTTTTGTCGATGCAGGTAATAGGTAAAAAAATTAAAAAATCAAAAAATTTCTCACTGCGGACAGAAAAAGTAGGCGTTGTCAGTGCCACACCGATAGGGCTGGCAAATATGTACCACAGAGAACCAGTCAATATATTATCAACCGAACCAATAAAATCGGTAGCCAAGTTGTTTGGTAGCCAATATGTTTGGCTGCTAATACCTTGTCAATTAAGTAATCTTGGTATGGTAATGGTATGAAATTTTGAATACAACGATTGTATCATACCAACCAACTTTTATATATATATATATATATATATATATATATATATATATATATATATATATATATATATATATATATATATATATATACAAAGAAATATGAGTTCTCATATCTTAATGTTTCAATTAGAATAACAACTAACAAGGCTTAGAATTACTAAACTAACACATTGACAGGCAAATTTCTTGATATTTATTTTTTAATGTGCACGAGATCGGTGATACAAAAGCACATCATACTAAAACTTAAAAGGAATACTAACTTCTCATTCATTGTACTGTTTCCATTTTCTTCCTCTAGCAATTTGCTAGGGGTAGACCTCTTTTAATCATTTTAGTGGTTTCCAAAAAAGAAAAAAAAATACTAACACAAGCGAGTGAAGCAACGACCAAATGTCCAAAAATTCAACTTATATTCACGTATAATACATATTAGTTAAAATTTTTGGTATATACCAAATACCAATATATGCCAACCAAATTTGTTGGTAGCCAAATTAATTGGTACCAAGTACACTGGTATGCTACTGGTCGCTAAAATCTGATACCAACTGTAGTTGATACGGTACACGGTTTGTAGAAAAAAAATTCGATACCGTACCAATTCCACCCCTACACACCAGGACACCTACTAAAACCGCCCCTAGCTAATACGTCACTAAGTCCCTCGTTAATTTTGTGGCCAAGTCCCTCGCTAATTTCATCGTTGATCTGTTGTCGTTGTTGGTCTTTAGCGACGGATTTCCAACAAAAATTTGGTCGTTGATTCCAATGTTTCTAGTATGCAAAAAAAAGGGTCGTTTCACGACATGGGAGTTTCATTGAATTTAGGACATGAATATTTTTATTAAAAAAAGAAGGAACGCAAGTTTTTTTGTAGGTTTAGGATGGATATTATTTTTATGAGTAATTAAATATTATTCTACTTTTGTTCCTACCTATCTTCATATTCATGTGAAATAATCACAAGAGACTTAAAATATTATTAATTTTATCAAAATATGACATTTGTCACTATTTGACATAATAGGAGGATAAATAGAAAAAATGGTAAAATAATATTTAATTTTTCTATTTTTATATTTTGCCAACTTTCTTAACATTTTTGGTCCCCGTATTAGCTTCAATTTTCTTAACATTTATAATGAAACCATCTTATAACGTTTGCATTGTCTTAATAAATACAAATCATTAACTCGATAGGCTTATGTGTCCCAAAGAAAATTGTTGGTAAAATAACCAAATGACTAACATTTTAATATTCATTTTTGTGTCCCTAGGTGGTTAATTTGGAGCCTCAATCACAAAATTGTCCATGCTAAATAATGATGCGATCTCCTTTATACCTTACTTACCTTTGGGTCAATAACATGAGAAGTCTAGAGTATAAGGTGTCGTGGTTGTCTTGGTGTTGTAACCTTCTTTTATAAAATGAAACTATAAAAGAAGATTTGATACAACAACAAAAAAAACTTTAAATAGGTAACAAATAGAGATGTCTTAAATCAAAATGTAATAAAAAATGTATGAGAAATTAAATATTCTTCCATCTTTTCTTTCTACTTATATTCCTATCCATGAGAAATTGTGACATATGTCATATTTAGATAAGATTAATAATATTTGAATACATTTGTCATCATTTTAAATTAATAGAAATATATGTAAGAAGAAAAGTAGAAGAATATTTAATTTCTCAAAATGTATTAATTCAAGTAATGGTATAAAAAGACAGTTTTATACTAGAATCTTCATAAATCATAAATAAAAATAACTTTTACTTCTTTGGTAAGTCTTTAATGTATTTTTTATGATTGATGTGATTGATATTAAATATCTCATGTATGCTTTCTAATTATGAAGAATGAATATTTGTAATTATAATAATATATTCCTTAATTAATGATCAAATATGTAGGGTAACTGTGGAACAAATTTGGCGCTCTAAAAATTATAAATACCTAATTTTATGAATAATTGCTTCAACACATTGTTAAACCAAGAGAAATCGATATAAAAAAACACACAAATGTCAATCATGAAGCTTGTTAACATGTATGCTATCCTTTTAATACTTATCACAATATCAATCGCAACAAAAGCATCAATCGCAACAATAGGTAACTTATACATCATCTTTTTCCGATTTAGTGTGTTTTTATATCACAAATTATTTAATTATGTCATTTCTTTTTTAGGTGATGTGAATACCAATAGGAAAATAAATATTAAGTTTTGTCACACCTTTTCAACAATGTCAACTGGCTGTCAAGATGGGAACTGCAATGACTATTGTCGAGACTTGAAGGGGAAATTTGCATATGGAAAATGTTTTGATCCTTACACATGTGATTGTCAATATGTTTGTTAATAATTTTGAAGCTTTTGTTGGTACTTTTTACTACTTCAAATAAAAATTGGTTATTAATGTTGAGTTTTAAAGATTCGTAACGTTATGATTAAAAATGTGTGAATTTGATGATCAAGTTATGCTCAAGTGTAGAGTGAAGTAGTGAACAAATTTGATTTATATACTTAAAGTTAATTCAAATTGAGTTAGGTTTGCTTTTAAAATGGATTAATCAAATTTAGGTAAAAAAAATGAATGGTAACCAAGCTTCTATTGTTGCTAAAAAATGTGGTTTCATTTAAAAATAAAATTGTCTTTGTAGTCTATTTGCGCCTAAATTTGGGCCAACCTTTTTAATTCATTAATATATTCTTTTTAAATTTAAATTAAATCTTCTATGTAGCTGCCTCCTTATTGTTTTGTCTCGGGCCTAAATTTGGGCCGGCCTTTTTAATTCATGTGTTTTAAAGTTATGTTGGGCTTACATTGTTAAGTTGAGTTTTAGTATATTTATTTAGGGTTTTTGAGTTTTGTCTTGCCCTTTAGATAAATTTTATTTTTATAAAATTTATATGGCAATAACTACGCATTTCCACTGACGTGACATGTAATTTCTTCCTTTAAATGAAAAATGTTTGAAATAGAACCCTTGCCAACCCCCTCCCAAAACAAACGTCTTTTAAGTCTTGCCTAGAAACATTTGTTTGGAACGTCACGGAAAGATTATATTTATTATCTAAACAGCTGAAATTATTATTATCATTATTATTACTACTATTCTTATTAAAATATAAATATATTTTTTATGAATGTATAAATATAGTTTTAAATGTAAAAATACATAATAAATAATTATTATAACTTTATAAATGTATTTATACCTTTATAAATACATATAAACATTTTCATATCTTTAAGTCTTTATATATATATAAATATATATATATATATATATATATATATATATATATATATATATATATATATATATACCATTATGACAAAATAGGTATAAAATACATAGTAATATAAACTATACAAATATTATTTTCATATTTAAGTGTATACAATATGGTTTTAAACAAAATAAATAGATATCATAAATACATAAAATTCGTTTATAATTGTTGTTTTCGTTTAAATATGCATTTTATATATATATATATATATATATATATATATATATATATATATATATATATATATATATATAGGCTTAGGTTATTTTGTTTAAAGTAATTATTGTGTTATTGTATGCATAAATGTGGGTCAATCAAATTTACTTATTTTAAGAAAGTGATTAATATATATTATTGAATTAAATATAATTGAAAAAATCATATTAATTAATTACAAGGGTAATTTAGTCAATTAATATAGATTTAATGAAGGAAAATTGCATTTTTTAAGGGATCATAGATTCTATTAATTTTAAAAATCCGATTTTACGAATTATAATTCTTTTAATTCAGACATTCTAACAGAATATGTTTATATATTCAAAAATAAAAATATTCTTGAACCATAAATAATAAAAATATTCTTGAACCTATTTTTTGATGATGACTTTAAAAACTTCTTGAAGAATAACAACTTCTTGTAGAATAACAAAATCTTGAACAATCAATTGAAGAATAAAAACAAAAAATACATTATTTCTTATAGAATACGGGTAACAATTGTGAAGAATTACATTTATTGTTAAAGAATAAAACTAAAATGTCATTTATTCTAAAAGAATAATGTGGTCCGTTCTTCAAGCATCAACTTCTGTGATTCCAACAGAATTGGAATTCGTCATTCCATTCCAATAGAATTGGAATCTCACCAATATCATCCATTGAATCATCTACATAAATGAATAAGATTATTCCAAGATTCACAATGTACAGAAAGCCAAACAGGATCTGAAATAACAAGAAAGATATTAAGCCAACAACAAATTTATGTAATTGTGAAATACCAAATGCAAGTAAAAAATCACCTGGGCAGGATACAGCTGGCATCCTGTAACATATTGTATGTCACCTTCCTTCTTTAACAACAAAATCGATAAATAATATTTAAAATATATATGAGAAAATGAAAGAAAAACCATTGAAATATGAATTTAAAACCTTAAAACGGGTTTTTGAGCTTTTGTTCTGTTCTTTGACATTTTATGGTCAACCCATTGAAGTCTGAATTGAGTCCACCGAAGTAGTCCTGTTTTCAGAAATGGCATAACGAATTACAATCAGGACCTGTATACTAAAAATAACGGATAAAATGTTTGGTAGATTTGTGAGAAAATATCAATAACTACATCATACGAGATGAACTGGTAATGTGGTCTGGATTATCGACAGATGTGATGCTGAAAACATGAATAGTACCCTTATCACTTGAGACTGCAAGCCACTCAGCCGTAGGAGAAAATGCAAGGCTATGTATTTCAGCTCTATCTGCACCCCTCCTTACCTAATTGTTATTAGTAGTATCCCAACCCACCATTAATGAGCTTGGTTAAAATCATCAAAGTTGTAATAATTACAAAGACATGTGTAAAATTATCCAGAATCATAAATGAAGTTAACCAAATTAACGCCTACCTCGTGCAACAATGACCCGTCGTGGGTATTGAAGATACAAACAAGAGTTCCCTTGTTGCTGGCTGTGGCAAGCATATGTCCATTCTGTGACAGAGCGAAGCACGCAATTCTTGAATCATGAGCTAAGATAAACTTTGTTCGCTTCGAAGCGTAATGCTCAACCCTAACTTGTCCCTTCCGCAATCCGAGACAAACAAGCACAAAATTACCAGAAGCTTGTGAAACATCGCAAAGGCCCTTGGGATTCGCAAATGTCTCGATCTGTTGCAATAACTTCAAATCCGTGAAATTGTATACGAATATCTTCTGCTCCAAAATCACAATTATCCGATCTCGCCTTAACCGAAATCCACGAACCTCCGATCGAAAAGATAGCTCACCAATGCATCGGCCCTGATGATCATCCCAGATCATAACCTTATTTAGAGGGTATTGAGGCTGAGAACCGCCTCCGACTAACGCAAGTATATTGCATCGATACAGCATCTCCACGATCCCAATACCGCCTCTATTTTCAAAATCCCGACGGAAGACCCCAATACCACCACCAAGACCACCTCTGTTCGATCCTTGATCGCTCGATTCTTCCCTCTCCCGATCTATGAAGAAGACGATGAAGGGTCGCTGGTGTCGATTTGTTCAATTTAGGGTTTTCAGAATCGGTTTTTAGATAAAGAGGAGAACGAGATTTAAACTGGAGAGATACCATGATTATAGGGATTATTTTTGGAATTTATTAAGCAAATTACTAAGGTAGTGTTTGTTTTTTGTCTGCATATCTGCGTGACCTCTTCTGTTTGCGCCGCGCAGACCACGCGCAGACATTAACATTCGCAGACTGTTTGTTTTTTTGAAGACTGCAGACCTAAAAATGTCTGCGCGCCCTCTTCTTGGTGCAGATGTGAACCAGGGTCTTCTAACATCTTCAGACATCTTCTAGCCTAAAAAAACATATATATCTTTATTTTTTTTAAGTTTTTTTTTTAATTTATATTTTTTCCAACTTTATTAATGATAAACAATTTGAAAAAAATTACAAAACTTAAAAAAAAAACGTTCGACGATACAAACATGATATTTTTGACAAATTTATAAATAAAGATTTATTACAATAATAGTCGTTGAAGTTGTTTATATAAATATGAAAAAAAATCATAATATATTCTTATATTTTTTTTGCCAAATTTTGTAAAACATTATTTAATACAATATCATCAATTTCTCGAGAAAATATTTATGGTACATTTTTAATGGATTTAATTAAAAAAATTGAAGTTTATTTCCATCCAGTTATGTATCAAATTCTTTGATCACTAATTATAATGTTTAGTTATAACTTTGCAACCAAAGTTGTTGGTTTTATCAAATATATACGTTAATTCATACCCTTTTTATTTTTATTTTATATACAATAATACATAAAAGTTGATCTAGATTCGTTAATTATTTATAACAAAGTCATAAAAATATTAAAAAATCACTTTGAAATTTGAAAAAATTAGTTTATTTAGATTTCAGTTTATTTTAGTAGCCCGCAGATGTTAAAAAAAACAAATAATCTTCTTTTTTCAGACTGCAGACGTTTGGTCCACCTCTTCTACTGCAGATGTGTACAGATGTGGTCAGCAGACTGCAGACATTTTGCCTCAGAAAAAACAAACAGCACCTAAATTACCCTTATTTAATTATTTAATTTTGATTGGCCCACATTTAAGTATACAATAACACAATACTTAGTTTAAAACATTTGAACCTATATATATATATATATATATATATATATATATATATTATATATATATATATATATATATATATATATATATATAACGTGTATTTTTTTTAATATGCATTATATACGAAATAAATACAAATTATATATGTTTTTAAACGAAATAAATACAGGTACATTCATTTAAAAATATATAAAGTTCGTTTTTGAAGATATACATACATAAATATATAATTATTCATTTTAAAACGGTATTCGTTTTTGAAATTTTATAAAAGTATTTAATCATTACCCACCGGGAAGATAATATCATCAATACGTCTTTGCTTCATTGTTTTTGTTTAAATCTAGATTTCAATATTGGAGTTTCATACTCGTGTTTTTTTTTGTTTCCGGAATTAGTTCATTGTGCTTCATCTTATATTTGTGTTTATGTGTTTTTGGAATCGATTTTAATTTAGAAATTCAATAGGTGCTAAGAGTTGTAGAAACCAATAACATATGTGATTGTCAATCAAAATAATATTTCTTGAACGACATTTATATGAATTTAATGATAAATTATAGGGGTGGAATTGGTACGATACTGAATTTTTTTTCTACAAACCGTGTACCGTACCAACTATAGTTGGTATCAGATTTTAGCGACCAGTACCGTACCAGTGTACTTGGTACCAATTAATTTGGCTACGAACAAATTTGGTTGGTATATATTGGTATTTGGTATATACCAAAAAATTTAACTAATATGTACTATACGTGAATATAAGTTGAATTTTTGGACATTTGGTCGTTGCTTCACTCGCTTGTGTTAGTATTTTTTTTTCCTTTTTGGAAACCACTAAAAAGATTAAAAGAGGTCCACCCCTAGCAAGTTGCTAGAGGAAGAAAATGGAAACAGTACAATGAATGAGAAGTTAGTATTCCTTTTAAGTTTTAGTATGATGTGCTTTTGTATCACCGATCTCGTGCACATCAAAAAGTAAATATCAAGAAATTTGACTGTCAATGTGTTAGTTTAGTAATTCTAAACCTTGTTAGTTGTTATTCTAATTGAAACATGAAAATATGAGAACTCATATTTCTTTGTATTTATTAATATATATATATATATATATATATATATATATATATATATATATATAAAAGTTTGGTTGGTACGGTACAACCGTGATATTCAAAATTTAATATTATTACCATACCAAGATTACTTAATTGACAAGGTATTACCACCCAAACATATTGGCTACCAAACAACTTGGTTACCGATTTTATTGGTTCGGTTGGTAACATATTGGCTGGTTCTCTGTGATACATATTTGTCAGCCTTAATAAATTATGTATACAAATTTGAAGTGGCTAAATATAAATATATAAACAAGTTTATTAGTCTATAAATCCATTGGCCCTTAAAAAAAACGATGGAAGTTAACTTTATTTAGATCAAAAAATGTTGTATACGGCGTTCGGCGGTATAAACAGTCGAGGATCCGTCTACCTCAAATCCATAGACCGAGAAGGAAAAAGCCATAAACTTGAATAGGAAAAAACTGAGGCTGCCATGGCTACACTTCCTCTTGGAGATGACAAACGCCCGATTACAACGATTCTCATTTTCGCTGGTAATCCCTAGTTTCTCTCTACCTCCATGCCTGTCCTTTATGTTATTATAACATCGACTGAATGGATATGAACGGCAGCCATGGATTCAGAAGCGCTTCCGGTTGTCGAACACTTCAAACTTTCACGGGATGATGGTACTTTGTGAGTTTCTCTATTACTCTCTGTGTCCGATTTCTTCTCAAATCAATAAATGTATGTTGCTTTGACGCTCACCATCTACTTCCTAGTTTGAAGTTTGAACTCCCATTTGCTAACTGTTTGAAAGGTTTTATGACCTTTTTCACTTTTCTGAAATTTGTGTTTAACTACTCAGTTCCAAAATTAGAGACATTTTGAAGTTCATTTTGCAGTGATTAATTGAAAGCTTTAGATTGTTTCCTCTGAGGATAGCATCCAATTACTTTATCATTTTTGAATTTGAGAAATTGCAAATTGAATTTAAAGTGAAAGTATATTCACTTTTAATCGACTGTAGCGTTCCTAAGTTGTAACCATTACTATTTGATACTGTTGATGATCAATGGACTCTAGATTATGAATCTAAGTTACACTTGATAAATAATTGGTGTGAAACTATTTCAGGTTTCCATTAAGTGTCCCTTGGATCGGATATCACGGTTGCTACAAGGATCTTAATCTAAATGTCATTTATCCAGGGAAAGACCCCGATTTTGGTGTGTGTTTAGTTTAGTATTTCGTTTCTTAATCTAAATGTCATTAATCCAGGGAAAGACCCCGATTTTGGTGTGTGAATGGATGGTATTTTCTTAGTGTGGCTATGAGAAGAACAATCATTGATTTTGAAAGTGATATGCGAAAAGTAAAAATAGGTCCATAAATATATTTTTTTATATAAATAAGCAAAATTTGTTAATAGTACGACAAGATTCAACACCTAATAGATCGATCGCTAAGTTATATTAATGACTAGAATTAAAAATAAAAAAAATTGTTCATTTACAAATAATAAGTGATAGATTAACGATAGAACCACAACAGAAACAAGCTAATATCAGGGATGAACGCATGAATGCATACCAGGTGTTGTCGATGCAGGTAATAGGTAAAAAAATTAAAAAATCGAAATTTTTTCCACTGCGTACAGAAAAAGTAGGTGTTGCCGGTGTCACACCGGGACACCTACTAAAACCGCCCCTAGCTAATACGTCACTAAGTCCCTCGTTAATTTGTGGCTAAGTCCCTCGCTAATTTCATCGTTGATCTATTGTCGTTGTTGGTCTTTAGCGACTAATTTCCAACATAAAATTTGTCATTGATTCCTATGTTTCTAGTACGGAAAAAAAATGTTTGTTGAATTTAGGACATTGATATTTTTATTAAAAAAACAGAAAGAAAAAAAAAGGAATGCAAGTTTTGGTAGGATTAGGATGTATATTATTTTTATGAGAAATTAAATATTCTTTTATTTTTGTTCCTAGTTATCTTCATATCCATGTAAAATAATAACAAATGTCTTAAAACATTATAATTTTATCAAAATATGACATTTGTCACTATTTGACATGGTAGGAGGATAAATAGAAAAATTATAAGATGATATTTAATTTCTCTATTTTTATATTTTGACAACTTTCTTAACATGTTTAGTCCGCGTATTAACTTCAATTTTCTTAACATCCTCCCTAATAAATGAAAACAAATTTGATAGATATCATTCTCTCATGTATTATGTCACATGTCATTTTGTCATAATTTTAAGATATTTATTTTACACTAGTTTATAACCCGTGGGAACCACGGTTATAAAATTAATTAAACTTTTATAATAAAAATTTATAATTATTAATCAATTATTTTAAATAAGTTATTTTTAAAAATTATTAATTAAGAGATATATCAAAATTTTAAAGTTATTATAACTTCAAATTTAACATACAATTAGAAAATGTAAATTTGAATTTTGAAATGAGTTGCCTATCTACATGACACATGGCATAATATTAATGAGGAGTTGAATTAGGGTGACATTTGCAAAATTAGATTAAAACTATTCATTTATTAGAATAGGGATTTGTCATTTACTTCATTTTTTATTTTTCAATATATCATTAATTTAGTCTCTATAAATCAAAGATACCAAAATGACTATATTAATTTCAAGTTTCAAATTTTAAATTTCATGTTCAAACTTCAACTCCAATTTTAAATAAATTTACAGTTTAAACCTTCGTATTTAACATTTTGTTATAATTAACACATTTAGTTTACGGATCTGACAACTAAACACATAATTTTAATTTATTTATTTTTGCATGTTTTTTATTCTCTCATAATATTTACTTATTTCAAATTTCAAATTCAAATAAATATCCCGTTTAATCATTCATATTTAATATTTTGTTTTAATCAACTCGTATAATATCCGGGTCTCGGAACTAATTTATAATAAAATCATGTTATAACGCTTGCATTGTCTTAATAAATATAGATCATTAAGTCAATAGGCTTATGTGTCCCAAAGAAAACTGTTGGTAAAATAACCAAATGACTAACATTTTTGTGCTCCTGTTGGTTAATTTGGAGGCTTAATAACAAAATTGTCCATGCTAAAATAATGATGCGATCTACTTTATACCTTACTTACCTTTGGGTCAATAACATGAGAAGTCTAGAATATAAGGTGTCGTGGTTGTCTTGGTGTTGTAACCTTCTTTTATAAAATGAAACTATAAAAGAAGATTAGATGCAAAATAATAAGACTAAACTGCACAAATGGTCCCTGTGGTTTGTTGAGAATTGTCACTTTGGTCCAAAAAAGTTTGGACTAGCACCAGAGGTCCAAACTTTTCATTTTGTTGCTTGTTTGGTCCAATTTGTTATGATTTTTTTTCAAAATGACGGATTTGCCCTTATTAATATGATTTTCTCTTTTTTCTTAATTGTTTTCCTGATTTAAAAAAAATTAAATTAAATCTCTTCTCTCTCTCTCTCTATCTCTTCTCTCTTCTCTCTCTCTCTCTCTCTCTCTCTCTCTCTCTCTCTCTCTCTCGTCATCACCTAGAACATTACCCAAGAACATTACAATGGAAAATACCCTAAAAATCTGAATTATCAAAAGATAATAATACATAAATTTTATTTGGATTCTTGAATCGATCTAGATGGATAAACACCCATAAAGCAATAAGAAAAAAAAATCCATGAAATCGATCTAGATGCAGATTCAGAAACCGAACCAAACAACAACAAACTCGAATCAGAAGCAGTTCCAACGAGCACCCGCTGTCAAAAACCCCCGGAATTGATGTTGTACTGTCCCGATACCCCTTCACAGCCCTCTCAGCAACTGTCATCACATTCGTCTCCTTCCCCCGTCGAAGAACTAGAATCACCAGTGATGTTTTCCCGGTTCCCCATTGTCGCCACCTTCATATCCCCTTCCCTTCCTCCTTCTGCCAAGAAACACCACCACAAGCACCTTCTCCGGCTGTTACTAACCTTCTCAACCCCCACAACCCCGATTTAAGGCTTGAACCGTCGGAAAAATCGACTCCTCCTTCGTGCTTCATAGCGAATCGGGAAAAGAAGAAAGAAAGAAGACTGTTGTTGCTTTCGGTCCCTTTTCGTCTCCGATCAGATGGGAATCGAAGACCCATTCCTTTTCGTTTGACTGACAGACCAAACACAAACACCCCCAGTCTCTTCTTCCTTGTCTCTTTTCATTTAATCTGCAACTTAAACAATAAACATAATCCACCCAATACACACTTCAATTAGAAAAGCATAGAGTGATCTAGATCAAGACTAGATCAAGACCTAGAAAGATCCCCAAAGTAGGAATGATGTTTCAATAAAAACCAGAAGAAGAAAACGAGAGGGAGAGGGAGGAGGCGATGACAGCCGATGGTGATTGAACTCACGATGACAACATCGATCGGTGGCAACTTTGACTCTTTCTTCCTCTTCTTTGGTTGTGAACAACGAATGAAGAGAGTGAGAGGTGACACCGGTGATGGAGGGGTTATGGTATTCAAAGGAGGAGGTGGGTTAAGATGGTGGTGGCAGGCAGCGTTCCCAACTGCCTGTTGTGTGTCGTTCTAATGCTCGTCGACGAGAAAGGAGGTGAAGGGAGATGCGGATGGTAGAGAGAGGAAGCAGCAGCTTTGATCGATGATGGGGTGTTTGGATTGTTGAGTTTAAGTGTGTGTGAGAGAGAGAGAGAGAGAGAGAGAGAGAGAGAAATATTCTTTTTTTATTTTTCTTTTAATCAGAATAAATATTTAAATAAATAAATAAATAGAAAAAGAAAGTACCAAGGGTAAAATAGTCATTATGAAAAAGTTTATAGAAAACTGGACCAAACTCGCAACAAAATGAAAAGTTTGGATCTCTGGTGCTAGTTCAAACCTTTTTGGACCAAAGTGACAATTTTCAGCTAACCACATAGACCATTTGTGCAGTTTTGTCAAATAATAATAATAATAATAATAATAATAATAATAATAATACTTTAAATAAGTAACAAGTAGAGACGTCTTAAATCAAAAGGTAATAAAAAATGTATTTAACTCGGTTAATGGTATAAAAAGATAGTTTTTTACTAGAATCTTCATAAATCATAAACAAAAGTAACTTTTATTTCTTTTGGTAAGTCTTTAATGTATTTATTATGTATGATACGTATGCTTTCTAATTATGAAAAATTAATATTTATAATTATAATAATATATTCCTTAATTAATGATCGAATATGTAGGGTAACTGTGGAACAAATTTGGCTCTCTAAAAATTATAAATACCTAATTTTATGAAGGATTGCTTCAACTCATTGTTAAACCAAGAGAAATCGATATAAAGAAACACACAAATGTCAATCATGAAGCTTGTTAACATGTATGCTATCCTTTTAATACTTATCACAATATCAATCGCAACAAAAGCATCAATCGCAACAATAGGTAACTTATACATCATTTTTTTCGATTTAGTGTGTTTTTATATCACAATTCTTCTAATTATGTCATTTGTTTTTTAGGTGATGGGAATACCAATAGGAAAATAAACGTTAAGGTTTGTCACACCTTTTCAACAATGCCAACTGGCTGTCAAGATGGGAAGTGCAATGATTATTGTAGAGACTTGAAGGGGGATTTTGCATATGGAAAATGTTTTTATCCTTACACCTGTGATTGTCAATATGTTTGTGGCTAAAAAACGTGGTTTCATTTATAATAGCTCCGTTAAAAATAAAATTGTCTTTGTAGTCTATCTGGGTAATGCTTAGACATTTTTTAAAATTTAACTACTCATTTATAGAGAAGGTTATTTCATAAAATATCTAATTTAGTTTTTAAATATTTTATTAAAGGCAACTAATTTTAACTTCATTAATATTTTTTTTTAAATTTAAATTAAATCTTCTATGTAGGTGCCTCCTTATTGTTTTGGCTCAGGCCTAAATTTGGATCGGCCTTTTTAATACATGTGTTTTGAAGTTATGTTGGGCTTACATGGTTAAGTTGAAGTTTTAGTATATTTATTTAGGGTTTTTGAGTTTTGTCTTTCCCTTTAGATGAATTTTACTTTTATAAAATTTATAAGGCGATGACTAGGCCTTTCCACTGACGTGGCATGTAATTCCTTCCTTTAAATGAAAAATGTTCGAAATAGAACCCTTGCCAACCCCCTCCCAAAACTAATGTCTTTTAACACTAGGCTAGTAACATTTGCTTGGAATTTAACGAAAATATTATATTTATTATCTAAACAGCTAAAATTATTATTATCATTATTATTACTTCTATTTTTATTATAATATAAATATATTTTTTTATGAAGGTATAAATACAGTTTTAAATGTATAATTACATAATAAACAATTATTATAACTTTATAAATGTACAAGTTGTGAGACCCATGTATTACATGAACAATTATATATATATATATATATATATATATATATATATATATATATAAGTTAAAATATTTGAGAACTTTGAACTTTCAAGAAAATAAGAAAAACTATGAATTATTATAATTGAAATGTTTTTATCTTTTAAATTTAAACAAATAATTTAAATAAATAAAGAAAAGAAACTAATGAACTTTAATTTGAAAATTTTGAAATCAAAAGGTAAATTCAATAATGCAATTGATATCAATTTATTAGTACATTTATTGTAATTATTATATTAAAATATTATGTGAATTTAATAAAATAGAAAAACTCATAAATTGACATTTGGAAAAAAAGAAATTAATTCAAAATAACCATAAAATGGCATTTGAAAATTTGAATAAGAGTGTGACATGTGGCAAAAAAAACATTTATTTATTAGAGTAGATTTATACATTTATAAATACATATAAACATTTTCATATCTTTAAGTCTTTGTACATATAGACAAGTATAAACCATGTACGAATATGACAAAATAGGTATAAAATATAATATAATCCATGATTAATTCCCGTCAAGACGGATTAATCCCTTAACCCCAATCGACCATTTGGGGTACTTGTGCGCTTGGTCCCTAACTTATTGTTTAACTCGGAAGGTCCCTAATGTTTGTTTTTGTTATGCGTTTGGTCCCTACTGTTTGTTTTTGTTACGTGTTTGGTCTCTATCTTACCTAAAAAGACTATTATTTAAATAGGTAAAATTGGTGGGGTAGGTAAGGTAAGGTGGGGGTAGGGTTGGGGGTGTGTTGATTTAAATAAATTAAAAAATAGGTAAATTACACCATTTGTCCCTCGTGCACATGTCAGAAAGCGTGTTTAGTCCCTATTTTCAAAATTTAACTTGGACCGTCCATGTGTTTGTTTTTTCTTGCACGCTTAGTCCTTATTGACATGAAATGAATGTCTTACCCTTACTAATTTATTTTTTCATTTTTTTAATTTCTTTACCAGTTTTAAATTAAAAAATAAATAAAGAAACCAGATATTCCAACCCCTCCGTATGGAACTTCCCTTCTCCCCTGTTCTTACCTCCTTCACAGCAGACCTACATCACTGAACCAAAACACCATCGCCACCTTGATCTCAAACTCCGTCGGCAACTTCCGATGGTGGTGTACAGGTGAAGAAGGAGACTGATGACTTCCGCCAAAGCACCACCATCACATATCCGCTCAGTCACCTTCTCATCTCTTCTGCAACTACGTCGCCGACCACATACCTAGAAATCGGGCTTGTAATAGAAAAAGGGTGCAAAATCGGAGGGGTTTCTTGAAGCTCATCGGAGAAGACGAAGGGTTTACAGATCTGAGATGATGAAGTTAGGGTAAGAAATCGATTCAATCGAGGAAAATGTGATGTACCATCCAGAGATTTTCGAAGACAGATGTTTAAGGGTTTTAGTTAAGGCATAAGAAGGAGAATAATGCAACATGTCTTTCTCTACAAATCGCAACCACCACCACAACCTCCGCTTCTGATTTTGCGTGTTTATACCCACAACAAGTCTCAACACAGATACAACCTTATTCTTCTCCCTCCAATCGATCACCAGATGCGTCTCTTTTTTCTTGTGAAGCGAAGAAGACAACGAATTAAAGGGTAAGAAATTGATGAACAACGAATTAGACGAAGTGCAGATTTACAACCCCCTCTTGCCATCTCCCTGGCATCGAATCATATTTGGAGGTTCACTGAATCAGATCTGTTTTCAATTTAAGAACTCTAAATCCTTTACTGATTTCGAATTAAACATTTCCATGCCATGATTCTTCCTTCCTAATTTTCCCTGATTATTCTTTCTAGATTTGTAAGTGGGTTTTTCGATAGAGGTTGTGGTGGTGTTAACAGTAAATGGTTGGTTCGATGGTGGTTTAAGTATACGTAGCTGGTTCGGTGAATGAGGTCGTGGTTTGTGGTTATTTATAATGAAACATTTTAAATTTGAACGAAGGAGTGGGTGGGATTAAGTGAGGGGTCGCGGTGGTGCTCCATTTTCCGGTGAGGGGTGGCGGTGGTGCTTCATTTTCCGGTGGTACTGTAGATTATCGGTGGTTGTCAGGTGTTATTCAACAAAATTGAAAAATAATTGAAATAATTTTTAATAATTAAAAATATAAAAAATGTTCAATATAAATGAAAAAGAAAACGAAAAGGGTATTATAGTCTTTTTATGTATCACAAGGGATGAAACATGCATATTTAAACTAACGATGGATGAAGCGTGCAACTTTTTACGACATGAGGGACGGTCCAAGTTAATTTTTGAAAATAAAAACTAAACACGCTTTATGGCATGTGCACAAGGGACGATTGGTGTAATTTACCCTTAAACAATTACGGGCAAAATAGTCTTTTTAGGTAAGACATGGACCAAGCGCGTAACAAAAACAAATACTTGGGACATTCCGAGTTAAAAAAATAAGTTAGGGACCAAACGCATAAATTACCCTAAACCATAGGGACCTTTCGTGTAATTTACTCTCATATATATATATATATATATATATATATATATATATATATATATATATATATATATATCCCTTGAGAGTCAAACTTATAGGTTTCTAGACCTAGTATACGTTAGGGTTGTGTGTTAGGAAGTGAACCACGTAAGAACCGAGAGCCAAGAACTTCATTCGAGCCATAAACCTCAACAAATGAGGTTCACGGCCGCAAACCATGTTCACGGCCGTGAACCCTCCTTAGGCCGTGAACACCATGCATATATATATATATATATATATATATATATATATATATATATATATATATATATATATATATATGAGTTTGGTTCGTTTTCCTCCACTTCTTCTTCTCTTGGCCGCAAACATCCCATTCTCTCCCAAGTATCATATATCAAGAACACCAATTTCACTCTTAAACATCCCTTTTCTTTGTATCTCCTTAGAATACAACTAAGGATCTTCAAACACTTGCCAAACAACAAGATCTTCAAGTGTTCTTCCCTGAAGTTGGATCGTGAACCACTCATAAGGGTCATGAACCATCATAGGGCCGTGAACCCTTCATGAGGTCGTGAACCCTTCATGAGGCCGCGAACCCTTCTAGCTTGGCCGTGAACTCCCTTTTATCCTCCTAACTTGCTTCTATCACTCATTTGGTGAGTTATTCTTGCATCCTAGGTTGTTTCCTAATCGCCTTTGTAGTTAGATTCACTAATTTCATGCCTATATGTATCATTACATGCTATTTAGGACTCATTTGTGCTCCGGGACTTCGTGCGTGAGTATAACATCCTTATTCCAGTCTTCAATCGAATCACTCACATAAGGTGAGTTCATACCCCTATAATCTACCTTTTTAAATGATTTTAAATGCTTTTTTTTGGGGGGGGGGGGGGAATACAAATAAAAAACAAGAAATCTTGTGTTTATAAATGTAATTTTACTTATTTCGTTATCTTGCCATCAAAATGAATGAAAACATGAAACTTGTTAAAACAGGGAAATAAACCTATAAACTATAAGTTTAGTTTATGAAACAAAAATGATCTTTTTACAAACATATCTGTTATTTATAAAAAGGGTTTCTCGCATTATTACTTGTAAAGTTGTTAATCTAGTTTGTGAGACACGTCTTCGAGTACCTACATAAGTACCAGTGGAAGTCTACCCTTATGAACCAGAGTCTCCTGGAGGAAGAGCGTGAGTTTGTGTATAGATCTATAGGGGACTGACAATCCCGTACCTTGCTGTTAGCTACAGTGGGACCGACAGGTCTACGGGTGACAAATGTCATATTTTTCGACGCCTACAATACGTCGTGTTTTATACTAGTCAAATTTAGTATGGTCATAACACTCACAAATAGATAACAACGATATATTTTACGTAGTAATATACTTTTCCTAAACTTTCTCAAGGGATATTAACTATATGATATTCAGTATATACAATAAGGTTAGATAAAACTGAAGTCCAGTAGACAGTGGAATGTGTGACTTCCGCCTCATTTCCTATTCCTTGTTTGGTTGTGGGCTTAGGGCAGATTCACCCATTCAACTGTCTGTTCGATCTCCGTTATATACAACTCGTATGTATTAAGTGATCATAGGAGGGTAGTATCGCCGTATCAGGTGTTCAGGGCAACCAAATCTTCATCCAGCTTAACTAATCCACAAAACTAGATATCATTAAAGTGAATACTTGTACTTTTCGGTCTTGGAACGAGTAAGACTACCGGTCGGTTTTATAGAAAATATAGGATTTTCTATGGTAAACATCGTTATTTAAAGGTAAACAGTTTTCGATAGAACTTTCTGAAAACAATAACATTTATTACTG